TGGCGCCTTCCCTGGCCTTCATGGAACAGCCGTGGCCAGCCTGGCGGAAGCCCCCAGGGTGCCCCTCCGGTCTGGGAGCCAAGAGCTGCTCTTTGGAGATGGCGTTGGAATGTAGCCATGTCAGAGATCGGATTTATTAGCAAAAATGTCACAAACCTGCCCTCGGTCTGTGTGTTCTCACAGGCATGTCACATGACCGCTTGTGTGTAGAAACGTGTTTCTCTTTGTGCCACCGGCTCAAGTTAGAAAACTCCGCCTATCCCCTAGCCAGTGCTTTGAGGAAACCCTGGCAAGGCTGCCTCTGAGCACGTACAAAAGGCAGAGCGTCCAATTATTTATTTATTTCTATACATCACATTGGCTAATTGCCCGGTCCCTGCTTCATGCAGGGCTCTGGGTGATGTACACCATTCATAAGAACTTATCAAGATAAAACAATTAAACCATGAATAACAGATTTCAAACAAATCAGATGGCGAGTACTAATTGATCCAATTTCAGACTGCTGGCTGCTTCGCGGGCAGGGGGAGAGGAGGGCAAAGCAGATATAAAAAGTAGCAGGAGTGGGAAATGGTGCCAGCCGTGATGGAAACCGTCGCTGCCCTCAAAACAAAGGCCCGGCAGAACATCTCTGCCTTACAAGCTCTGTGGAACTGCATAAGGTCCCACAAGGCCCTGCTGGTATTTGGCAGAGAGTTCCACCAGTTTGGGGCCAGGACGGAAAAGGCCCTGGCCGAGGACAGCCGGATAGCTTTAGGGCCGGGGAACAGCAGCAAGATCGACTGGGCGGAAATTACCAGGGAGTCGATACCGGCTAAATCTCAGGAGAGACTTCCTGACTGTAAGAGCGGTTGAGCCCTGGAACAGGAGACGGCCTTGGGGCGTGGCGGATGCTCCTTCGCTGGACGTTTTCAAGCGGAGGCTGGGCGACCATCTTTCGGGGGTGTTGTAGGGCCGTCTTTCGGCTGTGCTCCTGCAGAGTGCAGGGGGTGGGGAGCCAATGTTCCCTCTAAGCTGTGGAGTCTTGTGAGCGAAAATTCTACTTCGTGAGCTACTGGCAATGAAGTTGTGAGCGGGCGATTTGGCTACTGCACAAATTAGTTTGCTCTGGAGCTATCCTTTCTGAGCGAAGGCAAAAATGTGTGAGCCCGGAGGCTAACAAACTGTGAGCTAGCTCACACTAACTCAGCTTAGAGGGAACACTGGTGGGGACCAGATGACCTGCAAGGTCCCTTCCAACTCTAACATCCTATGATTCTATGATTCTGAGTTGTTATCTGAAGAGCGTAATGCTCTCCCGGGGTCGTAACGGAGGAGACGGTCCCGTAGATACTGAGCACCCCTGTGCATGGATGTTCTTAGCATATAGGTCTAGGGCTGTGAGTAGGATTTGAATCACAATCTGCTGCCTGAAACCGGAAAGAGACTTTACTGCTCAAGGTGAAACGAGGGCGCGTCCCTGGCAAAGGGCTGTGATGCCTAGTGAGGCAGATCTCTGGGAAAGAAATGGAAACTGTGGGCCTAGCTAAGCTGCAGCAGGAGGTCTTGGGTGGAGCCGACACAGACTCCCAGACTCCCGACGGCCCCCTTGGCAGAGGAGCTTCCGTCCCGGCAGATGAGTCGCCCCCCCCTCCCAACCCACACTTCTCTTCTTAAACGGAGAGAAGGGAGAATGCGTGCGCAAGTCCCATACCAGTCGAGGCGATGGGGAAAGCCGGTGGGTGTTACTTGGGGGGGGGGGGACCGGCCAGGCCTTGTTAAGTTGCTCGCTTAACAAAGCAGTCGGAGAGTGATTCAGCAAGAACACATCTTTATTCTTCAACTCCAACACAACTCCAACACGGATCGACATCCGATAGCCAGAACAGCCTTTACATTGCAGCTGTCCTGCTTTTAAACATTCCCGGCTAATGTAGCCACACCCACTGTACAAATACCAACCAACAAGGTTGTTCACATAAGGACCAATCATGGATGTTCCCGCTCAGGGAGCTTGCTTGAAAGTGATTGGCTAGGTGCTTCCTGGGCTAGTAACACGATTGGATGGATTTGGATCATTACATTCCAATTAGATGTTTCACATCATGCATTCAAGGCAGCTTTGAATACACTACAGGCCTCCGACTTGCAAAATCTCCAGGTTCCTGCTGCCCCCCCTGCCCCCCCAGTGAATTTGGCCTTGTGAGAGGAGGCCAAGTCTCTCAACATCTGACTCGAGTGTGGCGGCAGGAGAGACCCGTGAGCAAGTGGTTGGTACTCAGACTGGCATCTCTCTTTTTTTGCCCCTGCCCTGCCCCCCCGCCCCCTCCCCCAGCCTGCATGATGAATGTCCACAAACGCTGCGTGATGAACGTGCCGAGCCTGTGCGGAACAGACCACACCGAGCGCCGGGGGCGGATACACATCAAGGCAGACATCGAAAACGAAGTCCTCACGGTGGTGGGTAAGTGTTGGGAGTCTTAATTTTAAAGTTTGTTAGCAGAGTATTAAAGAGGCAGAGTCCATGGTGTGTTTAAAAGAACAAACGTTTACTACAACCTAGCATCGGGAAAAGGTGCACGGGATGTAAAACAACAAAGGGCTAATATTCCTAGATCCTTACAGCTAGACCGAAAATGGCAGAAGAGAGTGAAGACTAACTTCTTCTTCTTCTTGCTCAGGACAAAGAACCATAAAATGCTAATACTTGGCACTTTGGTCTCCAATCAGAACAACAAAGGCCCCTGCCACATGGCAGGGAAAACACCCGGCAAAGCGCGGCTAAATAGAGCAGCACCAAAAAAGAGACGCGCGGGTGGGATCCCACGGATCCTGTGCACCGCGTGCCGTTGCTCCCCGGCACGATCAGATGCCGGGGAGGGAGGGACGCTCGGGAGGGGGAGGCTGGTGCACTGCTGAATGGCTCTCAAAGATGACTGAGGGGGGGGGGCATTATGAATGGGGTGGAGAGAGGGGACAAAGGGAATTTTTTTCTCCCTCTCCCAAAAGACTAGAACTTGGGAGTATCCAATGAAGCTGATGAGCAGTAGGTTCAGGTCCGACAAAAGGAAATCCTGCTTTACACAGAGAATGACTAAAATGTGAAATTCACTGCCAGAGAATGTAGTGATGGCCACAGGAATAAACAGCTTGAAAAGGGGATTAGATAGATTCACGGAGGATAAGTTATCCCTGGCTACTCCACCTTCAGATGCACGAATCCTCTGAATCCCAGAGCCAGGAGGCAACATCAGGAGAAGGCCTCGGCCTCTCTGCCCTGTTGTTGGACATCCAGAGGAACTGGTTGGCTACTGTGTGAGGCAGGATGCTGGACTGGATGGACCCTCACAGGTCTGATCCAGCAGGGCTCTTCTGGTGTTCTTATGAAGGCCTCGGCTTCTCTGCCCTGCTGTTGGCCCTCCAGAGGAGCTGGTTGGCTGCTGTGTGAGACAGGATGCTGGACTGGATGGACCTTCACTGGTCTTATCCAGCAGGGCTCTTCTGAGGTTCTTATCGGGGGAAGGCCTCAGCCTCTACGCCTTGTTGTTGGCTGTCCAGAGGAACTGGTTGGCCTCTGTATCAGACAGGATGCAGGAGTAAATGGACCACTGGCCTGATCCAATGGGGTTCTTCTTATGTTCTTCTTGGGGGAAGGCCTCTGCCTCTGCACCCTGCTGTTGGCCCTCCAGAAGAACTGGTTGGCCACTGTGTGAGATGGGAGGCTGGACTAGAGGGACCTTCACTGGTCTGATCTAGCAGGGCTGAGGTTCTTATCGGGGGGAAGGCCTTGGCCTCTCTGCCCTGTTGTTGGCTGTCCAAAGGAACTGGTTGGCCACTGTGTGAGACAGGATGCTGGACTCTCACTGGTCTGATCCAACAGGGCTCTTCTGGTGTTCTTAACAGGGGAAGGCCTCGGGATGCTGGATTAGTGTAATGCTCAGTGGTCTGACCCAGCAGGGCTCTTCAAGCCATAAAATGCTAATACTTGGCACTTTGGTCTCCAATCAGAACAACAAACTAGCTCTGAAGTTCCCGGGCTTTCTAACTGTCTAAAACAGATTGGTTACAAACAAACATGTGATTTAACACATCATTAACCCAGTAAATACTGAAAAAGTGTTTTAACTTGTAACACCCAACAGTAAGTGAGGGTTTTTGGGTGGGGGTGGGGTGGGGATTATGTCATTCCTCAAGGGAGAGTGGCAGTGAATACATGGAATGAAAATGTTTGAAACGTGTCCTGAATGTGTACGTGCAGGCGCGTGCCCACCTTTTGAACTGGGAGGGGAAAGACTTCTATTTTTTCCCCCATGGGCAAAGACAAGGGGTCTGCATTCTGCTTCTGTGGGGTGCTCCACGTGCTCCTGGGGGGGCAGCACTCTCGCCTCCCCTTCCCGGTTTCAGTGATCCCACCCACTCATCTTCAGTGCAGTTAGTGGGGTGATGCGGCAACGCCACGTAGCCAATCGTGCTTTGCTACCCGACGAGGTCACGGCAGGCAGTCAGCGCCAATGAGTCCATTGATGCTTTTGCGAGAGATGAGCACGCTATTGTCGGGAATTGCTCCTTTCTGTGGTTTCCTTTTCACCTTGTCATCCCCATTCAAAGCCAAACAAAACCCTAACGTATTGCAGCTGGCGAGGAAGTGTCGGGTTACATCACTGTGCTGTGGTCTCGGAGGTTTGGCTCTGGTGAAAAAGGCATGTTGGAATTTTATCATCTCCTTGGGCCTCGTGGCCATCGGCCACGGAAAGACGTGTCACTGGAGAGGGCAACCAAGGTGGTGAGGGGGCTGGAGCAACGGCCCTGTGACGAAAGGCTGGAGAGAGTCTGGGACTGTTGTTGGCTGTCCAGAGGAATTGGTTGGCCTCTGTGTGAAACCGGATGCTGAACTAGATGGACCCTCAGTGGTCTGACCCAGCAGGGCTCTTCTGAGGTTCTTCTCAGGGGAAGGCCTCGGCCTCCATGCCCTGTTGTTGGCCCTGCAGAGGAACTGGTTGGCAACTGGGTGAGACAGGAGGCTGTACTAGATGGACCCTCACTGGTCTTATCCAGCCAGGCTCATGTGATGTTATATCTGATAATACAATTATATACAGAAACTGTTAGCAAATAACTAGCGGGAAATCCCAGAAAACCTTCCTTCCCATAATTTGCATAACCACAATCTCTGATTGTTTGAAATAGTAGTACGCAGTGTCCACTGGCCCATTTAAAACCCAGTTCAGATATAGTCCAAGGCTGCGTCTGTAACATTTAGTTTAGTTTGAAATCTGTCCCAGGACATGACAAAAGTACACCCAGTCCCCTTCAATTTCTTTCCTGCAGATTTCCGTTCCCTCCCCATATTTTCTTATGGACAATATTGATCTGTTTAATTTACAGCCTTCTTGTTGGGTGATAGTGAGATATTGGAAAATTGGTATTTAGCAGAGATAAAATAGTCCAGCAGAACCAGTGTAAAATAATTCAGACTGATAAAGTTTTTCCTAAATTCTAGCATGGGGGGAAGGGTAACTGGGATGAAAATAACAACAGAGCATTATCGGCTACATCCTTCACTCTACCAAGACAAAACTAGAAGAGAGAGATTATGGCTGCTCTTCTTGTTCTTCAAAACACCAGACAAAGACGGGAAGAGAAGCCATAAAATGCTAATACACCTTGACACTTTAGTCGCAATCAAATTCCTAGATCAGGGAGAAAATTCCCGGGCATTCTACAGCTAAAGAACATTGGTTACATGAGAAACATGTGACTTCCTGTGAGTAACAGAAACAAACATTTAACCCCAGATATACTGAGTGTTTTCAACTTGTAATACCCAACACTTCTCTTCTCGATGGCTCAGGGAGGATGATAAAATACTTTGTTCCCCAATTTACGTTATCGATCGCCCACTTTCCTCCCAGAGACCCCAGGCGAACCACACCGAGGGAGTTGGTGCAGTCAGCCAAATGGGATGTTTGATAGCCAAATGCATGAGGATTGCAGAAGTCTGGAACCACCAGAAAGAACTGAAGCATCGTGTCTGTATTCACATGACAGGCAGTACAGGAATTACATAAACAGTGTGGTGTGGCAGTTAAAATAGGCAGGCTCTGATCTGGAGAGCCAGGTGTGATTCTCCACTTCTCCTCCATAGGAAGCCTGCTGGGTGACCTTGGGCCAGTCACGGTTCTTCTCTCTGAACACTCTCAGTCCCCTCCCCCCCATGTCACAACCAGGTGCCTGCTGTGGGGAGAGGGAAGGAAAGGTGGTGATTTTCTCCGAGTAGAGAAAAGCGGGGTATAAAAACCTATTCTTCTTAACAGGATTCCACAATTAGCTCTGCATGGCAGTATATATGAAATATATATGATATACTGACCAAAGTATGACAATGAAGAAGAGGAGGAGGAGGAGGTGTTTGGTTTTATACCCCCACCAGCGTTCCCTCTAAGCTGAGTTAGTGTGAGCTAGCTCACAGTTTTTTAGCCTCCAGCTCACACATTTTTGCCTTAGCTCAGGAAAGATGGCTCCAGAGCAAACTAATTTTATGCAGCAGCCAAACTACCTGCTCACAACTTTAATGCCAGTAGCTCACAAAGTAGAATTTCTGCTCACAGGACTCCACAGCTTAGAGGGGACATTGAGTCCCCCACCCTTCACTGGGAGTCTCAGAGCGGCTTACGATCCCTTTTCCCTCCCCCTCCCCACAACAGATCCCCTGTGAGGTAGGTGGGGCTGAGAGAGCTCTTTCGAGGACTGCCCTTGAGAGAATGGCTCTGAAAGAACTTGTGACTGACCCAAGGTCACCCAGCCGGCTGCATGTGGAGGAGTGGGGAATCAAACCCGGTTCTCCCAGGTTAGAGTCCGCGCTCCTAACCACTACCCCAAACTGGCTCTCGCAATCATAACTAACACAATCATACAGCAGCAGACACCCAGTAAATGACTCACTAGGACTAGGAGTACAACATTAGGAGCCCATACAGAACAAAAAAAACCCACCCACCCCATTCTCTGAGATGACATCCCAGAAAAATGGATGCCAAAAAAAGAGGACAAGGCAGGAAAGCGCGGGACTTCATTAGGCATCGACTCCAGGGCCATTCCCTTATTCCGGCTCAGATCTGACAAAGCCCGAGTCTCTTGAAAGCCAGACTGAAGTGCCCGCACAAGATGGCGGCTACAAGCATGGACAGCTTCAAAAGGGAATTAGATAATCATATGGAGCAGAGGTCCATCAGTGGGGACAAGGCAGGAAAGCAAAACGCAGAGCACGGGACTTCATTAGGCATCGACTCCAGGGCCATTCCCTTATTCCGGCTCAGATCTGACAAAACCCGAGGCTCTTGAAAGCCAGACTGAAGTGCCCGCACAAGATGACTTGTGAGTCCTGCGGAGAGGAGGGGAAGGTCTCTCCTGGGCCTTCTTCAGCCAAACCAACTGCAAACCCCGGTCCGTTCAGGGCTACGTCAGCTTTGCGGAGTGACTCGATGAGCCCCCCCCCTCAAGTCCTCCCTGATTGAATTGGTAGGAGGTGGTGAAGTGACCTTGAACGGCCACCGTTTAACACCAGGGAGGAAGGGCGTCTGGATCGGAGGGTGCAGTGACAGCAGCCTCCGGTAGATGGCAGGGCTGGCCTTTCCTTCCTTCGCCTGCCGTTCGCCAGTGCCGGATCCCTCCTGGCTCCTCGCAGGCGCCCCGTGCGGCTGTGTCTTGAGGCGGTCCTTTCGGTGTGGGCAGCAGCTTCCCCGCCGGCTGAAGGTCAGGCAAGGATGGCGCTTCACGTCGCGGAGCTTTCCAGAGATACGTAAAGGAATCAGAATACCAGAAGACATTCCGCCCCAACCCAGAAATCCCTAGAATCGGTGGAAAGATCGGGGTGGGGTGTATGCGTGTGTGTGTCCATGTGTGTGTGTGTCCATGATTGAGAATCAAAAGTTGAAACATTTGTCGGCTGCGTTGAAGACGCAGGAAGAAACGGGAAGAGCCCCTCAGGCAGGGAAGGAGCGGCGTCAGGACCCTGGACAGCGGCTCCCCCCCCCCATCTTCCTTCCCACTCTGTGCCTGCCGGAGACAGAGAGTGGGTTTTGCCATCCTCCTCTCATGCATAGGAGCAGCAGTGCGGGACTTTGTAGGCCAAGTAACCTGTGCAATAAAAAAAAACAACACCCCGCCCTCAGGGGAGGGGCTGTGGATCAGCGGCAGATCCTCTGCTTGGCAGGCAGAAGGTCCCAGGTTCAGTCCCTATCAGCATCTCTAGTAAAAAGGCTCAGGCAGGAGGTGAAGGGAAAGACCTCCGCCTGAGACCCTGGAGAGCTGTCAAGAGGGGCTGTGGCTCAGTGGAGAAGAGCCTCTGCTTGGCACGCAGAAGGTCCTAGGTGTTCAATCCCCGGCAGCATCTCCACTTAAAAAGGACCAGGTAGGAGGTGATGGGAAAGACCTTTCTCTGCCTGAGAACCTGGAGAGCTGTCAAGAGGGGCTGTGGCTCAGTGGCAGAGCCTCTGCTTGGCATGCAGAAGGTCCCAGGTTCAGTCCCCGCGGCATCTCCACTTAAAAAGGACCAGGCAGGAGGTGATGGGAAAGATCTCCACCGGAGACCCTGGAGAGCTGTCAAGAGGGGCTGTGGCTCAGGGGCAGAGCCTCTGCTTAGCATGCAGAAGGTCCCCGGTTCAATCCCCAGCATCTCCAGTTAAAAAGGACCAGGCAGGAGGTGATGGGAAAGACCTTTCTCTGCCTGAGACCCTGGAGAGCAGCTGCCAGTCTGAGTAGACAGTACTGATTTTGATGGACCAGGAGGGTCTTGTTCAGTGTAAGGCAGCTTCCTGTGTCCATGTGCATCCAACCCCATTTCCTTGGTTTGAAAGGCTCTGGGCTCCTTTGGCAGAATAAGCCCCTGCTTAGCTTTGCCCAGCCTTTGGCAGAATAAGTCCCTGCTTAGCTTTGCCCAGTTAGGGAATTCCTGGAGCATCTGCTTGGCATGCAGGCAGGGGTGGGGGAGAGAGGGTTTGAGGAGGGGAAGGGGCTCACCGGGGAGTCCGCCCTCCAGAGTAGCCATTTCCTCCAGGAGATCGGATGTAATGCCAGGAGATCTCCAGGCCCCACCTGGAGGCTGGCAACCCGACCCCCCAACTTTCTGTCTTGGCAGTGCTGGGGGCGCCTGCAGGCTCTGGAGCGGCAGAGAAGTCTGATCCTGGGGCCGCTCCTTGGCCGCCGCACCTCACAAGTTTCCACGGCCGAAGCTTCTCGCGTCTCCTCGGGGCAGGCGAACGTTCTGCCCAGCCTGGTTCCCATCCAGCCCCGACTTTCTCCTTGTGAATTCAGAGGGTCCGAGGCCCAGGGGCTGGGGAATAAGGTCTGGGGCTGGAGCCAGGGGGGCCCAGCTCGGGGGCAGCTCTCTCCGAGGGGCCTCCCACGCAGCCGGCTCACTGGCTGGCTAACCATCCGGAGCCATTCCGGAAGGCCGCTCTGTCGGCCACTCAAGGGGAACCTGCCCTTGGGCCTTCCCGTGCGGGATCGGCTCCTGCTGCGCGGGCCCGATCCTCGCTCACGGAGTGTGCCGGCGAGGCGACGTGAGGCGCCGGCCTGAACTGGAACCGATTAG